TAGGATACGCTTCACCTCGAAGTCGTTGACCCTCATTTCTATAACCAGTGCATCATCATGGGGGTACTGGACTCCTTGTGCATCGTCTTCCGTGAAGAAAATTGGGTCTTCGGACCTAGGTCGCTTCGGCGGATTTTGCTCTTCGTGTTCTAGCTCACGAACTAAGGACTTCCCTGCGGCCGAGGTGCAGCTCACGACTACAGATCCGCCAGTGATCGTGTTGATCATCCCGCGGATTGCTCTCTCCTCGGGCAGTTGTCTCTATGGTTGCTCACTACGCTGGCTGTTGGGCTCGGGAGCATCTCTCCTTTCCTCCCCCTACTGATCTGGCTGGTTTTTATTACTTTTTTGTACAAAATTTTTCAGGTACCCGCGACGGATGAGCTCTTCAATCTCATCACGGAGTTTTTTACAATCTTCGGTACGATGACCGTGATCTCTATGAAAATGACAAAATACATTTTTATTTCTAGTGGTCGGATCCCCCCTCAACCGGGCCGGCCACTTCACAAAAGAGGCGTCCTTGATCACCTAGAGAATTTCCCCTCGCTTTGTGTTGAGGGCTGTGAAGTTTGTTCTTTCAACCGAGGGAGCTCGGGGATGAAAATCTAACCTGTTCCCTCCCCTGGTTGGGGACTTGCTTTTCTCCCTCTTGCCACTATTGTTCGAGCTATGGTCTTCTCTCTTTCTTTTCTCTGCCGGGGTTTCAGTCCTTTGGTTCATCTCCTCCTCGGTTCCGATGAACTGATCGGCAAGCTTAAGGAATTCTGTGATGTCTTTGGGTTTGTTTGCCACCACATGCCATTTGAATTCCTTGTGGGTGATCCCCTTCTTTGTTGCTACGAGTCTTACAGCGGGGTCTAAGTTCGGGATTAGTAAACAAGTGTCGTCGAAGCGTTTGATGTAGCTTCGAATCAACTCTCCTTCCCTCTAGACAATACTGAGAAGGCTTTCTTGTGACCTCGGGCACTTCTTACTGGTGATGAAGTGCGAGGTGAACAATTGTACGAGCTGCGCCCAACTTTTAACTGTCCCCGGTGCGAGCTACCCCTTTGAAGGTCATGGAGAAAGCAATGCGCATGCAAGCTTCATCAGCCCAAGCGAGGTGCATCTAGAACTAGAAATAATCTATGTGACCATTTGGGTCGAAAGACCCATCATACTTATCCAGGGGGGACCCTGAAGTTCATCGGCATCGGGGAGGCCAGGAGCTCGGAGGACAGTGGAGAGGGTACAGAGAGGAAGGGAGTGGTTTTTGTGATTCCTGAGCTTACCTCCACCCTACCTTTAGGCTGCTCAAGTCAGCTAGGTCCCGCGAGCCGGCTTGGGTCTACTGCTTGAGGTGCCTTAGCTCGTCTCCTTCGCTGCTGCTTGACTGGCTCTGTGGCAGTGCTGCTAACCTCTACGTTGTCCGATGGTGTCTTGGCCAAGAGTGATTCGGACTGCTGGCTACTGCGGACGAAAAGGGCCTGTCTGGAGTCCTCAGCTAGGACCTCAAACCGGTTTCCTGCAAGAGTGCCTTCAGGTTGCAAGGGTCGAGGTGAACTGGTTCTGGTGGGTCGAGTATCTCTCGACCTACTTACTTGCTGGGTGATGGGAGGAACTTGTCTTTCCCTCCTGTCGTGAGACGAGACCTGGGAGGTCTCTCCCCAGTGAGGACGGCTGCTTTGGTGGCGAGGCTTGCTCAGGATAATCAGACACTGAGGCAGGGTTGGTTGTTGGTTCTGCTGCAGCGGTGGGAACTACTACTGGTACATGTGGTGCAGAACTTGCTGTTGGTAATGCTGGAACTGCTGGACCTGCTGCATTTGGGCTTGAATAGCTCGCACACAGTGTACTAGGTCGCTTAGTTGGTTCTGTCCGAATCTAGGGGGAACCACAGAAACGGAAGTCGCACCCACTACAGGGGGAAGTGGGGCGTTCACAGGCACAGTCGGTTAAGGCACAGTTAGTGCTGGAATCCCACCCGTGGGGAGCGGTATGGTGAACTGACCTATTTAGACAGACGGGAACTGAGGTTGCCCCCCGGAGACGTTTGCTTTGTTGTGTTGTCCGGCGTTGCTGGAGGAAGCCATGGGTTTGACTTTGAGCTTGAGGTTTCGTAAAAAGGGCTTTAAGTAGCGATTTCCCACAGACGGCGCCAAATGATGTGGCGTAATCCAGCTGCTCCCTGCTGCAGATGATCTGGCTACCAGCAACGACGGGGACTGGGTAACCTACAGGAGAGGAGTCAAAGATCCCAGGGTAGCTTACCCAGCGGGGACACTCCGATGGCTAAGTTAGCACATAGTAGCGGTAGTAGAGAGCTTGAAGATGATATCAGTGAGTTAAAGAGCAAAGATTATGCATACACATACATTAAAAACATACCTTCGCCCCTGGGGGGTGAAGTCTTTATATACTAGAGTCCCCATGGGTTAGCGGAGCGGTTCTTGGATCCTTACTGTGATGGGATCCGTTTGCGTGTTAGGTGGGTAAAACGCCACCAGCCGGTAAGGTTGCCCGCTCCCGTCTGAACCGGGGAGTGGGTGAGCTAATATAGCCGTTATGAGTCATAATCCTGTAAAATGCGGAGTACGGTGGTGAGCTCCTCGGGATTGCCACACAGGGGTCGGTCTGATTCGGTAGCGAGCTGCCTATGAAGTGTCTGGCTACTTGGTGGCGAGCTGCCTAGGGGAGAGTTGTCTGAGCTCGTGTCCTTCAGACTCAACCTGCTCTGAATGCCGAAGTGCTTTAGTACTGATGATCTTGCACCGAGATAGGCTTGTCTCGAGGTGGATTCTTTCCGAGGTGGTCCATCTGCCCCGGTTTGTCCTGTAGCGGACTTGCTTTTCGTTTACCCTGGTCGTGCCCGATACCGAGGTGATCTCAGTTCGGGGTATCTCTAGTTCGGGGTATCATGGTACCCGAGGTCGCTTTGTAGCGACCTGATCATGTTGAGTTATCACTTGTATCGAGTCACGCCTACGTGCCGATCTGATCATGTTGAGTTGCATCTTATGCCAAGTCAGGCCCACGTGTCTCCCTATTAGGAGGTCGGGCCAAATTCCCCTTCATCAGGTTCCATTTTCGGGTCGTATGAGTCACATGATCAAATGACATAACATCATGGTTTTTAAAACCAACCCGGAGACCGAACCAGTTAGGGGTCCGGTTACTGGGTTGAATGGTCCAATCATTCGAATCGAGCAGTTGGCCTGTTTGACAAAAAATAAAAAAAAATAAAAAAAGATCAAAACTGTTCGAACGGTTCGATATCTAGTTATGAACAATATTTATAATAAATATTATATATTTATATAATTAAATAATTATATAAGCAATAATTAGATAACTATATAAACAATATTTATATAATTAGATAATTATATATATATATATATCTAATTATCTAACAATATTTATATAATTAATAGGAAATGGGTTGCTCTCACGTGGGAATCTACTCGTACGAGTAGATTTCATTTACCCGAGCGGTCAAACCATTGACCCGTTCAATGGTTTTTTGTCGTTTTTTTATTTTTTAATTTTTGTTGTCAGAACGGGCCATCCGTTCGAACCGAACAGTCGAACCATCAACCCAAAAACCAGTGGCCAGAACAATTCCATTTTCAGGTCGTATGAGTCACACGCTTAAATAACATAACACGTATGCTACTGCTTAATGGACCTCATAGACTCAATTTTTTGCCTATAATTTTTGTTGTTAGAACGGGTCATCCATTTTCTTATTTTTTTTAATTGGGAACCGTCTAGGCAACTAGTTCCGTTTTACCCTAATCCCAATCCCTGGCCAAAAACTATTGAATCGGTCAACGACCCATTGACCCAAGTGGTTAAACCGTCAACCCGTTGACCTGTTCAATGATTTTTGGCCGTTTTTTTTATTTTTTTAAATTTTGTTGTCAGAATGGGCCGTCCGTTTGAACCGTCGACCCAAAAACCAGTGGCCAAAATAGTTCCATTTTCGGGTTGTATGAGTCACATGCTCGAATGACATAACATCATGGTTTTTAAAACCGACCTAGAGACTGAACTGGTTAGGGATCCGGTTACCAAGTCAAACAGACCGATTGTTTGAACCGAACGACCGACTCGTTCTAACAAAAAGAAATTAAAAAAAATAAAAAAGAAGTCAAAACCGTTTGAACGGTTCGATAATTATATTTATAAATATTTATAATAACTATTATATATTAATATAATTAGATAATTATATAAACAATGTTTATATAATTAGATAATTATAATAACAATATTTATATATATATATATACTCAATCCTATTAATATATATATATATATATGTATATATAAGATATTAATGGCAACGGTCAAATGAACATTGACAACAATTTGTAATTGTTATTACATAATAAATTGTTATTTTTGTCAATAATTAGTAACGGTTACTCCTTGTTGGAAATGATTGTTGCTTTAAAATAGTTATAGGCAACAATTTTGAAATTGTTGGATATATGATTGGCAACTGTCAGTTTGACTGTTCCCGGTGGCATTTATAGATTTACAGGCAACAAATTGTTAATAAAAATTACTTTGGGCAATTATTTGCATTAATTGTTGCTAAAAATATACCTTTAACCACAATTTACATTAATTGTAATAAAACAATTTTTTCACAACAGTTTAACCAACTGTTGTTAAAAAACCTTTTTCTTGGTAGTCCGGAACGACTGAAAATCTAACCCGATGTAAAATTGTGGACTGAATTAATTTGGGCTCGGGTTGGACCCGCCCAACCCGAGTGAACACAACAGTGTTCCGTAAACATGGGTGTGGCCCGTCATACACAGCGGGGCGAGCAGCAGATCCGGGCTCCTCACACGGTGATCACGGACCAGTGTCGAGACGTTTTACTTCCGAGTTCCGAGCAATCCCTTCTGCCATTCTTGTAATTATGCAAGCAAAGAAGGCCATTTCCGCATGGACAAAACTAACCGTTGGAAGCCCATGACTGTTTAAAAAACAGATTTAGTTAGAGAGTTCGATATTCTACCGAAGAAACACACGTCCAGTTTATTTTGAATTGTGAGAAAAAGGGAAACCAATTACAGCGACGATCAATTACCGGAGATTAAAGCAAGAAGCGCCGACCGATTGAAGATCAAATACGTGAGTTCGTCCACTTAAACCATAAAATTTCTTCAATTTCACACATCCCCTGTTATTCCTCTCAAACTGAGGAATCCAAAGGAAGGGCACGCAAAGATAAGGTACGGGAAGTAGGGATTAAAAGATTTTACTAGTTGAAAGAAGTATGATGAAGAGCTGATCTTTGGAGAAATTTCAAGTATCAGATCCACTTACATCATTACAGTTATCAATGTTTTAAGCGCAAGGATGTTTTAGATTTCAAGGGGGATATATTAAAAAGAAAAAGATTTTATACAAAGGGGGCTAGGTATTTAGCAGTGCCGTCTAAGGTTGAAGGAAAACAGAAAAAACAGGGATTTTGTTATACATGGAATTGTGATCGCTTGCAGTAGATTCTTTTCGAGTTCTTTTTCTTTTTCTTTCTGGGTCTTGACTGCTCTCATATTTCTTCAAGATCGAGGGCTAAACACCGTCGTTTATTTTCCTGGGAGTGTTGGGTCTGAGTCTGACTTGACTCATTTGATCATTGCTAGAAAAGTGATAAATCTCAGCTTTTTCTACCTTGACTCCTGAGGGATTGTCTAGTTATTGCATTTGTAGATTTTTCATAGTTCTCTATTTGCATATTTCAAACCGATGTGGTGATGGAATGGAGCTTTTTGTTGGTTTCTCAAGTTTCATTTATAATTAAGACGGATGATTTTCTTTCAGGTCTTAGGTTAATATGCTTTGTAAGCTTTTGATTCATCCTAACTGAAGTTAAACTGCTGCTTTAACCTGCTGATGGAACCTAGACTGATATTCAAATCCCTAGATTAAGGGAACCTACACCACATAATTTAATATCCTTTCTGTTAATGTGTTTCAGGAAAAGTCATACTAAAACTTTATTGCACAAACAGTATAATGGCAACACAGGCTTGTAGGCTAATGCAGGACCAGAATTTGAATGACAATATCAAAGGTACTTGAGCTCCTGGTTGCCTATGATTTCAGTTTTACTTCTCTTCTTGTGTCAGGACGAATATCAAGCTCGCTAACCCAGTCACCTAGTGCCCATTTTATGTGTTTCAGGTGGGGGAAGGCACAGCATTTCGACAGCTCAGAAGAAAGTAGGACTTGGTGTTAGGAAGGCGCTTACTGATCTTACCAACTCAAGGAAGCCGTCTTCTCCAAATCAGGCGACAAAGAAGGGTCATTCCAAGAATTTGAATCCTTCTGGGGAGAAGACTAGCATCTGTAAACCAGCCAATATCTCTAAGCCTGTGCCCTCTGTTGGTGAAAAACTCAAGACCTCCATAGCTCAGGAGAAAGACGGGCTTGGTGGTAGGAAGGCACTTGGTGATCTTACAAACTCAGCAAACCCAATTTTGCATCAAACATCAAAGAAAAATTGCCCCAAGAAGTTGAATGTTATTGCAGAGGAAGAATTCTTCCTACATAATCATCAAGAATGCATCAATTCACGGAGGGCAATGGAGATGGACTTCTTTTTGAGGACAATGGAACTTGATGATGGTAATATATCATGCTGTTGAACAAAATGTCCTCTTTTGTTTTATTTTTTCCTCCACTGACACCCCCCCCCCCCCTTTCCTTGACTAATTTCATTCTTCCCTGTTCAGATTTTTCAATGCAAATAGCATCTCCAATTGTATCAAGACATGCAAAGGTATATATGTTTCTCATCTGATCTGTTGTTATTCTTTTATCCTTCTTTGCATGTGCTTCGTTTTCTTTTTAGCCTAAAAACAACTTAATCATGAATTTTAGTTACTAATAACAGCCTACTGTTTCAGGCTGAGAGTCCTCCAAAGCGTCGTCTGGATTTGGAAGAAATACCTGACTTGGCTGATGGATATCAGTCTCCTCCTCCATGCCGGACACCTGAATCCTTAAGTGCATCTTCACACAAGGATTACTTTCCATCTCCTAATTTGAAGCTGAAGGGGACACCAGAGTAGTGAAGCGATGTTATGCTAGAGTAGACTGATAAATCCAGTAGATGTTATGCTAGAGTAGTGAGGCGATGGTGGTAGTAGTGTTATTGCTGGGACTAATATTTTGATTACTATATTGTAATCTGTAAAAGCACAAGTTTAGATTCTATTCATTATGTTTCTTACTGTAAAAGCACTGCTTTGCATAAGTGTGGATCCTATTCATTTTTGGTGGTTGGTTCAGTTACTAATTACAATTTGTCTTGTGACATTGAGATATTATATTTCTTCTCTCCAATCCTGGTGTTGTACCTTTATACCGAAAAAAAATCCTGGTTGAACCTATTTCCATCTTTTTATTTACACTTGCAGCTCTAAGGCTGCGAATTTTAGAAAACTTCAGCTATTTTGGAACCCTCCTATCCCGAATGGCCTGGAGGCCCTGGGCCAACAATGGGTAATGGTCTTTTCTATGTATTTATGGTATTGATTTTATGATGTATATATCCAAAACCTTGGGAGAAATAATAGTTCTGTCCAATGAATTTTCCTAAATTCAGTACAATTTCACCTAGGGATTATCATGGCTAGACCCCCAGCTTTGGGTCTGGGCCAGGTCTGAAGTGTTGAGCCCAAGACTGGCCTAGATATTTGCAGGCCTGATGCAAGAAAACCCAGGCCCAATCCCAGAGATTTGTTGGCCACGCCTGAAGTGTTTAAACCCAAGCCTGGCATAGAAGTTTATGGACCTGATGTGACAAAACTCAGGCCCAAGCCTATAAATTGGTGGGCTTTGGAAATTTGCAGGCCTGATGCAACAAAATCCAGGCCCAAGCTCAGAAATTTATTGGTCACATGTGAAGTGTTAAACCTAAACCCAAGCCTGGCCTAGAAATTTATGGGCCTGATGTGACAAAACCCAGGCCTAAGCCTAGAAATTTGTGGGCTGGGCCTGAGGTGTTGAAACCCAAGCCTGAGAAATTTTTCTTTAATCAATTACATGCGTATCAGACCCTTGAGTAGTCTTACACTACACACTCTACAGCCGCCCACACCTTGTTTGGGGAGAAAGAGAAAGAGATTAGATGATGATGATTCATTGAACCCAAACAAAATCAGAATCTTTGACCTTAAAAAGAAAGATCCAAGAATTTAGTGGTGTTTGACTACGTCCATCAGGGAGGGCTTGGCCTTACGTCAAGAAGACCACCATTATTTTTAAGTACAAAAACACACCTTTTTTATCTATGCATGCTTACACCAAGGACATTATTTCAGGCAGGAATTCCACTAATCAAACCCCAAAAACATAAGCCGACATTGCTCGTTTGCTCAATCCTTTATTATATGCAATAAAGGATGACCAGCTGCACCATCCATACCAACTCCCCATGGTTGAAATTGACAAAAGGAATAAAGACACTATTTGTTCTTTCTGGATCTTTGTGTGGAAATAACACAACAATAGCATCACATGTTCTAATTCAAAATCATGAACCATACTGGCCCATATAATTGTGTATTTTAACACAACATGCACTGTTCACGAACCATGCCGGCTAACCTTCTCCAAACCTTCTCCATCATTCCATCTCGTTAATCAAATGTTGACATTTGAGTTTGGGGCAGAAACAGGGTATGATCAAACATTAAAATATGACACGACATTAGTATCAGTCAGAATCGATACAAGATACATTACGATTAGTAAGATACACGTCCAGTCATGCGATAAATACAGGTTAATATTGGTGCATAGGTATCAGTCGGACCAAACCTCTTATTCAAAAAATGCATTTATTAAGATTCCAACTCAAATCCTGACACTTACACCACTATGCAATTAACATCATAAGTCACAATGCCATCATGCAACTTGTAATATCAAGTAAAAAATATATATTTTATTAGCTTTATTATTAACATGCAACCTAAATAATAATATATGTTTATCTTCAAAAAGAAAAACTTAAAATAAAAAATAACATTAAAATTAGTATTTTATAAATATTAATGAAGTAAACAATCTATCAAATTTACATTTATATCAAAAATTGTTTTCTACTCTCAAAAAATTTATACTAATAAAAATATTAATAACAGAATAATTATTTTAGTACTTAAAATTCATAAATTTGTACATTATATGTATCTTCAATTTTTAATATATTTTTTATAAATTATTCATAGATATTTTAATTTAGACTAAGAAATAACATAATTATTATTTATAAAAATAATTTTTTTACAAAATATTCAAGAATATAATATTAAGTTGAATTTTTCAAATCCACTAATTTAAATTTATACAAAAATGATTTCTTATTTCAGAAAATTTATAGTAATAAAATGATAATAATTGAATCGTTACTTTAGTAATTAAAAATTATCAATTTCATATGATATATATCTTAGAAATTTTATTAATTTTGTTATATTGTCAATTAAGATTAAAGTAAAAATATGATATATATATATATATATATATATATATATATATATTAGAAAAATTACGAATTTCATATGATAATAATTTTGATATTATCAAACATTTTAAAACTTAATATTTAATTGACTTTTTTGTTAATGTTGAAAAGTTAAAATAAAAAATAATTGCTATAGTAATTAAAATATAACAATTGCATATGTTTTGTGTCTTTGACTTACAGAATTTAATATAATAATGGTTTTGTGCATGTTTTATTTTGTAAAAACTATATAATATGAGTCTTGGACTCTTGATTGATAGATTATCAATAAAATTATATGATATTTGTGTATCTTGTTATATTAGTAATATATTTCTTTATCATTAAAATATACACTTGTATGTATTTAATCTTTATTTGTGGCTATTTTGACTTTTAGGCTATGTTTGGTTTGAAGGAAAAAGTAGGAAAAGGAAAGGAAAGGGAGGGAAACCTTTACAAAGTTTACAAACCTTGTATAGATTTCTCTACCTTTTCTTTCCTTTCCCTACCTTTTCCTTCAAACCAAACATAGCCTTAAAGTTAGTGAAATTGATGTATTTATGAAATTTGTATTATTTTCCTAACATATCTATTTGTTTTCATATCTTTTGTCTGTATCAATAAGTTTCTAAAGTGTATCTATATTTATATCCATATCCAAACTGTCCGAAACGATACCCGATACCAATACTTTAATCATTGGGTATGATAGGGTATTTAATTGAAGTAGATATTGTATCTATTATTTAATAATGATAATATGAAAGGGAATGATGGATATCGTCATGTGGAGACCAAGAAAAAATTCCTAGAGGAAATAATACGGGCGTAGACATACCATTTTTGTGCCCCTTAGTCTTTTTGTAGCATTTCAAGCTTCAAGCATGCTTCAATTAACCTTGCACTTGACTTGGGGGTATTTTTTGAATTTTACAAAGTTGGGCCTCAAGGATCCAAAACCATAGATATGTAGAGGTCAAAAATATGAATCTAATGACACCAAGATCACCCAAATTCGATACGGTTTAACCCTTCATCTTAACACCCAAAGCCGAATCCGATTTTGATCATCTAATCGGAGTCATTTTGATCTTGAATCTCATTTCATATCAAATCAGAAATCCAAGATCATAGGTACGTAGAGCCCAAAAATCCAAATCCAAAGACACCAAGATCACCAGAGTCCGGCACTGTTTATCCATTCATCTTAAGACCCAAAGACAAAACCGATTCCGATCATCCGATCGGAGTCATTTTGATCATGAACCTTAATTCATATCAAATCAGAAATCCAAGACCATAGGCACGTAGAGCCCAAAAATCCAAGTCTGACAACACCAAGATCACCCAAATCCGACACAGTTTACCCCTTCATCTCAAGACCCAAAACTGAATTGATTCTGATTGTCACCATATGCCACATGAAATTTGAAATCTAACCTTATAGATGGGATATATCTCGAAATTTCAAGTCCAACGGTGTCGAGATCATCCAATTCCGACACCGTTAACCCCTCCATCTTGAAATCTGATGCTAGAATTGATCCAAGCCTTCCATTTGGAATCCCTTCACCACAATTTCGAACCTAAGGTATCCCACGACCAAACCTTTGCCCCAAACCCTAAAACCATCTTAAAATCCAAGATTTAACCAACTAGGAGCCTCTAATCAATCAAGCCAATCACCTAAATTTGGAATGTCCAATTTAGGTAAATTGGTGAAATCTTCCACTCATTGTCTTGATTAGTTGAGAGGATCTCTTCCAAAGCTGTCTTGACAGCCCATTCTCTCAATCAATCTTCTTCCAAAAGCCTTTTAAACCTCATCCGTTGATCTCCCTTGTCTCCCATCTCAACCCTCCATTCCCCTCAAAAAATCTACAAATACCACCCCCCCCCCTTTCTCACATTCTAAACACAATCAAACCTAGAGGACTACCTTATACTCACTAGTCTAGAGAATACCCCCCTTCAATTCCCAAGCAGCCCCAAGCTTCCCTAACCCATATCCAAACTCATGAGAAAACTTCCATCACATCCAAAGAACCCCTATAGGTCAAGCCTACACACATCCTAACCTAGACACGCACAACCTAACTTAAGGGGAGATGTCTACCCCCATTAACCTAGAGAATACCCCTTTCACGTCTCAATAAGCAGCCCCAAGCTTCCCTAACCCACTCCTACACTCTTTTTCCACCATCTCTCATGTCCTGAAAGCCCTCCACATCAGTATTACATTCCAAGAAACACCCTTTGGAAGCTATGAAGCAAATCAAGGAGCATGCTTGAAGATCAAACAGTGCTGTAATGATATGACACCTCCTACGGCAGTCTTTTTACACCATTTGGGCCACACAACCAATAGTTCTATCCTATCAAAACATCTAAATGTTCTGATAAGAATGGAGAGAGGCTTTTGAATGTATTAATGATGCTGAAGGATCATTAGGATGTCAATGAATCAGAAACTCAAAGTTGCAGGATACGGTGGAAGAAAGTTGCAAAGGTTTTCTCTCATTCTAGGGTTTTGCTATGAGTTTACTTGAACAACAAAATCCGCACTCGGGCAATGAAAATCAGAATACCAGATGGTTTTTGTATGCCTACAAAGTAATCAATAAGCAAGATTGGACTTTCATCCATATGAAGATAAACATGGCATCGTTATTTATGTATCTTTTTTTTACTTTTCTCATACTTTTTTAAGCATTTACATACTGTCACGAATCAATCTTTCACTTTCGTTTTGTAGTTATCCATCCATTTCAAATTCCATTGTAGTTTTGTAGTTAGTAACATCCATTAATTTTTCTTAGCCATTGAATTCAAATAGGAATAGTTGACATTGTTTTTCTATTAGCATTGTTGCATTTAGCATTCATATCCATTCTCTTGGCATAATTAGCGTTTTAACCAAAATTTAGTTGCAGAACTTTAATGTTTTAAATTTTAGAATAGTGTCCATCATTCATTCAATCTAGTTAGTTTTAAGATCAATCCATGCACAATCATCAGTTTTTTTTTTTTCATTTAGCATGTACTCTAGCCTTTCCAATTTATCAGTTCTAATTTTCCATTCGGGATTGTGTGACTACAATTCACGACAGGAAGAGAGTGGGTAGGAAATCGGCAAAATTGGCTCCTAATTTTCAGCCTTGTGGTCAACCTTTTATTCAAAACTCATTGCATGACTTCCACTGTCAGCATTCACGTTTCCAGCATATAATGAATTTAGTTTGAGAGGATCATAAATCTAGCATAGGCTCATCTAGTTCAACCCTCCAACCCCCTAAGCCCATTGTTTTATCTAGTTCAACCCTCCAACCCCCTGATAAATGTCATGATTTCATGTATATTAGTGGTTCAAATTGTAGGGCTTTTTTATTTTCCCATTCTTCATAAGTCTTTTTAGAATTAATTCTCTTATTTACAAGTTATTTAATTTCTTGTGGCTTTAAAATTTAATAGAATACATTGCATCTCCTTAGCAAATAATTAGTTTTTTTTTTTTAATTCATGTATCCTCCACTCATTTGTTTCAATGATAAGTTATAACTTGCATGTTATTTGATCATTCTCTTTTCACTTCATATTGTCATTTCTTTAGTTTTTTCTTTTAATAGTTTGAATATTGTTTTTATTAAAGTGTGTTAGTTTTTAAGGCCCAAAATTATTAAATTTTCTTTGGAATATTGGTGAAGTAGAAGCCAGTTTTAGAGGTGTAAAGTGGGCCGTGCCGGGCCGGTACAACACGGCCCGTGGGCGGCCCGCACAAACCGTGCCACCCTCTCCAGTGAAAAATTTGGGGGTCAGCCCGGCATGGCCCACACCTTGGGCCCATGTGGGCCCGTGTCATGCCACGGGCCGGGCTGGCCTGTGGGCCGAGCCTTGGGCCGGGTCGGGCTGTGTATCGGGCCAAAGCTATTTATTTAAAAAAATTGACAAAAAAACTTAATTTTTTAATTTTATATGAATTTTGTGTATAAAATTGCTTATATATGCAATAATTAAATAAATTAGTATAATAAAATTAAAAAATTATTTTCTTTATTAATATACTATATGCTATATATTATTATATAATTATAATATATATATATATGGACCGTGTTGGGCCGGGTTGCGGGCTGGGCCATGCCAACCCGTGGACCTAAAATCCCAGGCTTAGCATGGCCCACATGGTCGTGCCGGGCCTGGCACAACCCGCAGACTGTCGTGCCGGGTCGCGGGCGGCACGACCCGATTTACACCTCTAGCCAGTTTAACTGGCTGTGTGGGGTGCTTAACACCTTCCCACACCGTACCTTGGTCCCTAGACCCAAGAATCTCTAATTTCATTGAACAATGAGTCACCAAGAAAACTTTTGCTTTTCTTGAAAAAACTTGGGTTTTCCTAAATTCCCATTTCCCAAAAATTTAAGTAGCGACTTCAACTCATATCCATTCATTCCATCCCCTCCCTCCATATCGGGTAGGCAAAAGGGGATTCAACCTCGTTAAATGGAACTTAATTTGCAAATCAAAAAGAAACAGAAGATGGGGTGTAAAAAACCTAAAATGGGTTAATGAAGTCAGTATTGCTAAATTAGGATGAAAACTACTTACACGACCTAAAAATCTATGGGTTCAATTAATAAAAAATAAATATATTAAAAATCAGGATTTCTGGCACACTAAGGAAAAGAAATCGATCTCTTGGGCCTAGAGAAGCATTCTCCAGTTTAAAGATACATTAAAGAAAGGTATTAGATAGAAGATAGGAAATGGGAGATCTATCAATTTCTGGACGGAAACTAAGGTGGGGAATAACATATTAGCTAATGAAGAGACGAACCCGCACATGGAACAACAATGTAAGGTCAGTGAGTTCCTTACGGAATCAAAAACTTGGGACAAAGAAAAGATTATAGAGAAGGTCAACTCCCAACAATGGGATCAAATCCGGGCTATTCCAATTTCAACGAGGGATGTGGAAGATAGAATGATTTGGAAACATAATCCAACTGGCGGATATTCTATGAAATCAGCCTACTCTCTCCTGTAAGGAGAAATGCAGGAGAATGAGAGAATTACAAGATTAAGGAAAATTTGGAAATTAAGGCTGCGTTTGGAACCATGTAAATGGAGTGTAAATCTCGGTTTAGGGTAAATTTGTATTCTGGTTCATTTTTGCATGTGTTTGATAACATTATATTTATGCATTGACAAATGATAGACCAATGCATATTTACATTGATAATAAGATATAAAAGTACATCAATAAAAAAGAAGTAAATTTGTATTCAAGTAGGCTTTTAATAAAAAAAACAGATGTTTTATTGGAATTCATGTTTGCATCCATTACAGTTAAAAGTATGTTTGGTAAGAAGGTAAATTTATCAGTGCAAAACTGACCCAATTTTACAATTTATATGAACTATTTTGTACTCTACATATTTGCATTCAAACTTATTTACACCATTTCCAAACACAGCCTAAAAAGAGCCCACCCAAAATTCATTATTTTATTTATCTGGTAGTAAGTAGCAAATTATTGACAAAACACAGACTAAAAGAGATGGGATGCTAAGACGGAGCATAATGCCCATTCTGTGGATATGAAGAAGAATTAAAACACCTATTTCATAACTGTGATGAGGTGAAACAAATTTGGGTAACATTCAGTGAGCCTATTCCCATGCCCACTTCAGAGGAAAGAGTGGAGGCTTGGTGGGACAGGATTATGGATTAGTCAGTCATGGCAAATACCAACCTAAACCCAAAAAAAAGCTTGTATTATCAGAGTTTACATCAGCGCCCCACAACGTCCCACAGTATATCTCCACATTTCTCAACGATAGTACCAGAATTAATAATGTGGGCCATCCAGAGATATTTCCAATACACGACAAAAATATGCTGTGGGGGCGTTGTGGGGCGCCGATCTGAACTGGTATTATCATGTGGAATATCTGGAAGAGAAAAAATAACAAAATTTTCATGAACAAGACATTTCCCATACTAAGAGACAGACCTTATGGGTCAGCTGTAAAGACATAGGCGTATATTCGACAAATGAGGCTGAGGCATTGGCTGCGTTGGAAGCCTATAACGTTGCAGCTTAATTCCCTAAGCATAAGTTTATCATTGAAGGAGATTCTGATATCATCATAGAGTGTCTTCGTAAGTGGATGGTGCCACCAATGACTGTTTTGGGCTCGTCATTTGTGCAAATTTCGCGACTGATTGACTAGCAAGCCTGGGTCATTCAATGACTGCATCTGGCCCGAGCCTTGATGACCAAGGACTTAACTACATTTGTTTCTTCGATGCTTGGGGCCATCTCACCAAGCGAAACGCGTCGTTTTAATTTCTCTTGGTGTATTTTTGTTTATTTCCTTTTGTTTTTCTCTTAATTTTTTTTTGGTTTTTGCTGTAATTTCTCTCAAATGTATAAAAAGAAAAAAAGAAGCCAAAGAAAAAGTTGAAAAGTCGGAACAACAGATTCAGCTTCTAAGCAGGTTTCCATCTTTTCAATACATCATATTAAATGGGAAGTTGGGAACCACATGATTCATCAGCATTGAACAATCTCCCAAACAATTGCACCCAATCACTAAATAAGCATATGAACCGACAAATAGTAGAGGAAAGAGGCAAAACGGCTGGTGCTGTGTTACACAGCACAAAACAGTCAGCAGGGTCTTTGGCCATAGCCCAAACTCAGTCTTTTGTAGAAAGAAAACAAAACCTGTTTTGCTAAATGTTGCATATGTAGCAAAGGCTGTAATAAACAATTTTACTTTGCATAAAAAATTACTGTTATTCTTTTTTAACTTTTTTACTAGGCAAATGAGTTAGGATTAATTCCTTCCTTGAACCCAAAATCTTGTGGTTAAGGTCTTTTGAATGGTTGTAGCCTGTAGGGGAGACTTGAAATCGAATCTACAAAAACAAACCCGCCTCAATCTGATGATGAAGGCAAGAATTAATCATAATCTATACCATAATTAGCATCTTCATAAATACTATTAATACATACATAAGAGTACTTGGCGGGTCGGCACGTTAATATTCATATATCAACAAGTTTTGAATAGAACTGTTTTGATCCATCAGATGGTTTTGGAGTCTAAAATCGGACTCAGAGTCATGACCGATTCAAAGCCATCCATATCACAGTCCCAATTGAAATGCCCAATAACACCCACCATCACAATATGATGATAAAAGGAAAATTGGGGTTTAGGTTGAGTTTGGTAAGAATGCAAAAGAAAAAAAAAAATTGAATATCATTACTATCATATGATGATACCATGAAAAATAATACATTATTTTGCAAGTTTGGTTGTGAGTTGTGACCCCATCATGCATCATTTGAGACTGATTACATTACATCACTTCAAAGTAGGGATGGCAATAGGGTGAGTTCAGGGAAGGTTTTATAAATTTGAGATCCTTTTCGCTTCCTTAAACCTCTCAAGATTATCTTCTCCAAATCCTGTAAGAGGTTGGATTTTCAAAATCCAAACCCTCTCCATTTTGAGGGTGGAGCAAATTGGGTTGATGGATCGGGTCCAAAACTTACATTTAAACTTTAGCCGGATTTGAGGGTTTTCAATTATTTGATTAAAACATATAGAACACATAAACTAACAATCATCCTATAATTCAAAATATTATTAAATTTAATGTATCATAAAACATTATTAAATTAAACACATAATACATAATATCCATTGTCCAAGTGAGGACGGGTTTGGCTTAATACCATGCCCTACCCGTATACATATGGATTATAAAATTCCAAAACATGTCCCTGCCCAAACACCAATTTTGCCGGCGGGGTAGGGTGAAAATTGTCATCCCAATAGACCCCCGGAGTCAAGACCTGAAGGCTGAACCATCGGCGCTGTATTTAGATAGCCCTTGCCACAAAAGAAGAATGCTTCAACCCCACCTACAGACCACGGCCATTATAATTCCGACTCCTACTACTGAGGCCGAGTGTTGCCCAAGCTTTTGGTGAACCCTGCTCTCATCGTCTCCTCTTCATCCTCGTGGAACCCGTCAATCTACGAAATACATTAAGATTCACCAACAGTAATTACATTCGTGTCTTAGCTTCTTTTTCTTTCCTCTCTGTTTTCTTCTTTTATACTGAATATACTGAATGTAATTCCGTGAAAGAGAAAGGAAGGAGAGTGGAACTGTGAAAAATAAAGAGAGATGGATGAAAGAGAAATTTACCCAATGCTTGTCTTCTTCATCTCGGTTGGGAATCTCTGCAGTTTCATCGCTACGGGCGAATCTTCCACGTACTCTAAGCCTACTGTCGGCTAGTGTCTTTCGACAGGCATACTGGTCAGAGAAGAGCAGAGTAAGGACAAGCCTTTATTCAGATTAATATCACGCTCACCATTTCGTTGTTGTTCAGGTTTTGATTACTCTATTGATTCTTGATTAAAGTAAGCGATGTTTTTCTCTTTTTCTTTTTCATTTTTTTATACCTTTATTATCTTGTTGAAATTTCGTTGGTTGCGCTTGCTTCTGTACCTGTCAATCCTCTGTTTCCTTTCCTCTGCACTGTAACGTCCGACTTTGAACCCAGCTTCTTCTGTAAACGAATTCTCGGTGCTTAAGGGGCTTGAGAAGAATTGATTGTTTGGCTGCGTTCCTTTGATTCTCTGAAGATTAAATAGAAAAAAAAAGGAGAGAGAAAAAAGAAAGAGATGATTTAGTTAGGTTTGACAGAAAGCTCATAACAAAATCAAAGCCAAGAAAAGGATAGTTCTAACTTGTAAATCTCCAGTACTGCAAACCCTTCTCATGGGTACCGATGTTTTACTTTTTTCATGCGAACTCACAGGCTGGAATTGGAAATTTGGGGTTTCCATGAGAGGATTGAAACAAGGTTGGAAGAAACTCGGTTTTCGGTCAAGAGATTGGCTACTGAAGCTCCTCTGCATCATCCCTGTTCCCTTCCCAGTACCATGACCGTTTGAAAAAGTAGAAGCTATACGAAAATTATTAAAATTCATGTAGTCCCCCTCCGCTTTCACTCCAAAGTCATCCAAAACAAATAAACATGGAGTATTACCAACAGCCGACTCGACAGCAGAGGGAACAGAGGTCGTGGGGCTCAGTGATAAATTGTCTAGCTGTTGGCTTGGGGGAGAACATGAGACGATATCATACGGGCTTTGGTGGGCGGGGGGTGATGGGTCGGCCAGAAATTGAAGGCCTGGGTCGTCGGAGAAGGCATTGAGGATATCAAAGGGTAGTTCAGCAAAAGGATGGAAAGGCTCCAACAAGAACTGCAAGTCCGCATCGGAGGAAACCATGTCGGAACTTGAACTTCGAAAGAAAGGGCCATCGAAGAGGAAAAGTTCAGAGGACATAGAGTAAAAGAATTGACCGTGTAAGCGAAGGAGAAGTCTGAATTCGTTTTCTCTTTGCTTCACTTCTCCGTGCCTATTCTTTGGGTTTGAAACAGAGGACAAGAACTAAAAGCGCTCGGTTGTGAGATTGGAAGGAAATGAGATTATAATAGGAAGACTGAGTCTCGATGTCCAATTTCTATGCAGTAGACAGAGACAGATAATAGACTAGTAGCCTTTTAGAGCGCATGTGCATTTGCATCATCTTTTTACAACATTAAATAAAAAATTAATATGATAGCGAACACCATGGCTGATGGTGCTGAAGATGCTCATCACGTTGTCATATGGGCTATTGGCCTATCAATCGTGATCATTGGATTGGTGGGCCATAGATGCCCCACAAACTGCTATTCCTACTTGTATGCACCACCAAAACAGAATGCCTTCCAAATTCCTTTCTGCGTGAAGTTTAAAATCTGAGCTCGGAATGCCAACGGGTCAGGTCCAGTTTCCGACCCGGCCCGATTAATTGAAGATGGATGCTGAACCTGACCTGGCCTGGTCCATCTCGTATATAATAAATACACTTTTATCCAACTAAAGCTGCAATGTTAATGGGTCAGGTTAATACAAATTTCCCTAAGGTCAACTCCAAAACAACCCCAAATTCAAACCCGATACGATCCTAACGTGGGTTTGTGATTCCATACACAATCAACTTGTTGATAAATTGTATGAAAAATAGATAATTAGTTCACACCATATTTTTTAATTTCATATATCTTATATATATTACACAATTGATTATAAATAAATGGTTATATTCAATAATCCAAATTAATCTGAAAATATCATCAATAAATTCATATTAACCAATAAAAAATATTTTAACAAAAAATAAATGAGAAAAATAATTAAACAATAACAAAGCTATTTTTATTAAAGATTTAAATAATTCAATAAACAATTATTGGATTATTTAAAACTTCAATAAAAGTAGTGGAACTTATGCTAAAAAATTAAAAGCTATATCATCAAAATTATAACTTCGAAGGTGTAATGGTAAGAAAACAACAAAATACTAAGGCATGTGATGTATAATATCACATACCCCTTTTTGTCTACTGGTGGTTGGGAACATTCATAAAAAATAAGCATGAACGAGAAATTGATATGGGACAGTCCCTGTCCACAAGTTATTGGGAACAGGGACCGTCCCCAATGAACTGAACACCAATTATTTTACCCCTTTTTGTCTACCGGTGGTTGGGGACCATCCATGAAAAATAAGCATGAACAATAAATTGATTTGGGATGGTCCCTATCCACGAGTTATTGGGGACAGGGACCGCCCCAAACAATTTGAACACCAATTATTATCGTTGGCGGGACCGTCCACAATATAAACATAGTATCAAACACTACCTTAAGATGTCTTTTCCTATAAAATCTCATCTCTAATTTATTTGTGCCTATTGTGTTTAATATACAGTATTTTAAATGTATATTGATGAAGATCAAAAGTCTCGGTAGGAGCTCAAAGGCAGCTTAGAGGTCGATTGGATACTTGCAAGAAGGATGAGGTCAGAGGGCCCGAGTGAAAATCACAAGCTAAGGACTCCAATGAGCAAGTTAATATCGGTTGAACTGTTTGAGGTACTAAACATAACAGTTAATGAGGCCAAAAGTCTATAATGAATGCTCAACTAACCTTTATATAGTCAACAATTAATGGCCGCTCGTGCCAAATGAAATGTGTTGGAGTGATGTAGGACACCTGGAGTTTCAGGAAGGACATGTACAACTCAAGGCAGAACACTTGGAGCTCGGGCAGGACACGTGCTTTCTCTGGTGCCACATTTTTCTCCCATGGAAGAGGCCTAGGGCCCACTGACTGATAGGATGGGCATGTGTGATGATGGTATTATCAGATGTGATAGACAATGATGATGGCCCTGCCAGGCGGGGCTGCTAGATGGCCTTTTGGTGTACATGTGGTGGAGCTCAGGTGTGCTTTTCCTAGTGCAATTTGTCCCGGTGGGGTGTTCTTTCTTATGCATGCAGCTTGGCTCGCTTGCTGAGCTGCCCTTTTATGCCTTTGCTGTGGCTTGTAGTGACTGGTCTATTCGAGGCGTGGGTGGGTCCCCAAGGTGAGCTCCCCTAAAACTGAGATTAGCCTAGGTATTCGAGGAGAATCTGCTGGTCCAAGGTGGCATGCTCATTCTAGGTGCAACTCATAGGTAGGGATGTGAATGTTCCTAAAGCTGCCACATGGCTTCTCCCAATTAGAGGTTACTTCTACCCCCACTTCCAAGGCCGAGGTGAACTAGCTCATGTGATGGAAGTACTTGAGAGGGATGGTTCTTGTCAGACACTCTGTCATGCCATTTTCCTCAAAACCCGTCGATCCATAAGGGATGTGTCGCTCCAACTTGTTTTGACATGTTGTGTTGGTTGCACACATGAACCTGAAGCCATTAATTAACTCAAAGTGGATTCCAAAAATGTGCTTAATCGGTTTCGGGCCTCAAGAAGCCCAGCCATTGCGAGTTTTGACCATCGGATTGGTTTGATTTTAGTCATTGGAGGTCCACCATCTTTGCCTGTAAACAAGGACCCCTTGAGGGGGTCCATTTTGTTCAACTATTCAAACTGGTCTTGCTCTTGAGACCAAGAGCACAGTTCTTAAGGCTTCCCAGTTCATAGTCGGTCCCCTTCTTGGTCCTTTTTCTTCTCATTCCGGGTGAGTCTTTCCCTCCCAAGTTCACTTTCTTTTTGCTTTGTTTAAATTCCATGTTGGGCTCTCTAGCAGAAGACTTTGGAGAGATGGATAGGGTGCTCTAAATGAAGCAAGAAGAGCTCCTTGATTCACCCCCTTTTGAGCATCAGGAGTTGGAGTGGCATGCCTCGATCTTAGAGAGGCTCTATAACTAGCTCATCATAGATCCCTCCAAGCGATTTACCCCTACCCGCACTACTTTAGTTGACTTAGAAAAGATTTGTCTTCTCTACAGAGCCCCAAAGGCCTTCCAATTCAAACATCCTACCCCCAACGAGGTCTCATGGCATCATAGCGAGAACATGGTCTATGTTTACGAATAGAACATCGAGGCTAGGTTGAGATTCCCTCTCATGTGCCTAATCACTGACATCTTGAAATGTCTTTTGATCACCTTGGGGCAGCTCTCCCCAAATGCCTTCATATTAGCAACGCAATCACCAGTCAGGGAGAAGTCAACTATCCACCCTGCCCGCCTCATAGTCCATTAGTGGGTCTCCCGAACGAGCTCCAAGGAGGGAGGAGAGAGGGAGGCCCAATTGGGCAGAGGAGCTGTGAAATCATTTGTCTTTCTTCCTTTTAGCTCCCTGCCTTAAGTTAAGAAACCTACCTATTTGGATTAGAAAACTTCTAATTTGATTAGGAGAAGTTGATCTTGATCTGCAGATAAGATAAGGGATAAGCCTTATCACTTAAAGAGATCAGATCCAAATAAAGATTTGGATCAAGAAACTCCTAATCAGATTAGGAGGTTGATTCTTTAAGGATTATATCTCAAGAGGAGGGCGAACTGGAAAAAGGTTACACAGTTCCACTGTTTTCTGCATTCAATTCTTTCTCCCTCTGCTCTTGTCGCCCTACCCTGTTCAATCTCCACCTCTTAGAGTAATCAACATTGGATCTTGATATTGTTTCTTCTCACAACACTGTTCGATTCTTGCTGAAAAACCCCTTGTTGATTCTTCCTCACCCTAAGCTGTGTCATCTTCAGTGGATGAAGGATTTGGTAACCTCTTTGGGCATGAACACCTACATTGAGAGGAGCTTTTTCATGGATTCCGTATCAGGTATACCTCTCCCTAATCTTGGTTCAGATTTGGTCTGGTTTGTTTCAAGAATGATCATTGAAAGTACAGTTTTCTAAAACTGGGAATATGATTCTTATAAGGGAGAAGGAAAATTTTTGAAATTTCACCTAGCCACCCTGCATTATTCAGCCATCCATATGATGGATCTCCCTTCCCTTCAGTGGTATCAGAGCCAGGTTCAAGTCTTGAACTAAATCTAGACCAGATCTGAACCTGCGCAAATGGGCATAAATCGTTCTACCCGATTTGCGCAAGTTTACTGTTTTTCTAAGAAATCGGTTCTCAGTAACGGGCGTGTAGATCTGAAATTAATTCTTTATTATTCTTTAATGATTATGGAATGGTTCTGTAATTGTTTCTTGGATTCTTGGGCTGTCGTGTGATGGAGATCGAATTCTTTAAAGGTGGCAAGATTTGAGAACCCTGCAAATTTTTATTCTATTCTTTTTGGTCTGTAGATAATTTTTTTTAGACAAAATGTATAGGATTTGATGTGATGTACTTAATAGAAAAATAGGTTTTTATATTTTTTTCACGTCTAAAGACTTGCTGGAGAGCATGGAGGAAGAGAAGACCTTTTGCAGTTTGAGAAACTGCAATTTGCGATTTACAAATAACGGTTTCACTATCTGCTATTAACCCTCTGTTTTGTAGGTGTGAAATCACACGTACAACCTTCTGATATGTATTCTTGCTGATTCTTGATTGTCTTTAATCGGTTGTAATTAATTTCATATCACAATCTTGAATTGTATCTTACAATAGACACCAAACCCTAGGCCGGTTTGACACAAGATTGGTCTAAACTGGTTGGACTGAACCTGTGGTACAATAAGGATTTGTTCTCAACCCCAAATTCTGATTTGGGCTAAGGGTTTGATGGCCTATTATAAAATACAATTTGGCCCACCCTGTGAAACCCAATTTTATTAAGTTAAAACTGCATTAGCCCTAATTCAGCATAAATGCTATATGGGCTGAACTGCCTTTAATGGGTTGATAATGTTATGGGCTTTAATGGGTTGATATTGATTTAACTTAATTAATTTAGGGTTTTACAGTTGATTTAATTGATTGGATCAATTATGTGATGCATGTGATATATGTATGTGTGATGTGCTATGCACATGGGCCATAAGCACTTAGCCCATGTTCATTCGATTAGTGGCTCTCTTCGCACACCATGGCTGAATGCACATCATTGTCATGGTGTCCATAAGATCATTGGATGATCTCCTTTCTTGATGGGCCCCACATCAACTTCCTCCCCAAGAGGAACCGTGCATAACCCTAGCCCGTTTAGGGCCCATCTAAATCTGACTTTGA